GCAAAATTTCATTGAAATTGGTTCAGGGGTTTTGGAGAAGAAGTCGAAAATGTAAATTGTTTACGGACGCACGACGGACGACGACGGACAAAAGGCGATCGCAATAGGTCACTTGAGACTTTGTCTCAGGTGACCTAAAAGTTTACATAAATCGAGCACTTAATAAGAAAATACAAGAGGCCCAGGGGCCTTGATAGCTCACCTGGTATTATTTTAATTTGAAATTTGTTTAAGGAAAGAGTACATTAATTAAAACCAGTTAGCACTTAAAGATGATCTTTGACCTCATTACTGTAATTAAGAAAAGTATTCGCACTGCTAGTCCAAATGGTTCTTAAATTAGGATGTTGTTGTTTAAAGTTTTTAACAAATGACCCCTGTGACCTTAAAAGTTAATGGTTATTTTTTGCTTTTTTTAAGAGGGCAATAAAAAACAAAATTTCATTGAAATTGGTTCAGGGGTTTTGGAGAAGAAGTCGAAAATGTAAATTGTTTACGGACGCACGACGGACGACGACAGACAAAAGGCGATCGCAATAGGTCACTTGAGACTTTGTCTCAGGTGACCTAAAAAATTGACCAAAGGACCATTTCTTAAAGATCTCCAAGGGCCGCGACCTGTTGTTTATTTATTGTACCCACCTCTACCATAGCCGTAAAAAGTCTGTCTACAAACGACGTCCAGGCTTGCGGGATCACCATACTTCTGTGCCATTCTGATGGCTGGATTGGAACCTGGTGAAAAATTAAAACAAACACCTGTGATGTCTTTGATTAACAGGAAGATCCCATAGTCAAATGGTTCAAACAGCTACGATAGATTCACAGTAGCTAGTATTTAGAACTGATGTGTTTATCTGCAAAAAGCATGAAAAGTCACAATGAAGGCACAAAGACAGATAACATAACAATAATTTAACATTTATTTCTTTTTCGGTATGTGATAGTTTTATCACTCTTCTAAATACTCTTATACTTGATCTAACTATCTAACTATGAAGTTTGATGGAAATCCTTTCAGAAACGAAGTCGACAGAGGAATGATAAATATTTTTCTAATAGTAGCCATGACCTTGAACTTGGCACCCTGAAACAAACAGTTTTGAGGTTTACTCATACTAAATCAATATATAAAGTTTTATCAAAATTCATCAATGAATAAAGTTGCTAGAGTAATGGCAAAACAAGAGGCCCAGAGGGCCTGTATCGCTCACCTGAATATAATTAAAGTAATTGGTATGAAGTAAAGATATAGCACTCCATGGTAGGTGCTGTTAGTACATATGAAATTTCAGAAAGATCCATCCAGAACTTGAGATATAGAGAACAAACTTCAAACAGAGCCCCACCCCTATGCCCCTACAGGGGTCATACACACCAATTATACAAAATTGAGTCACCGTCACCCAAGGATGCTCCACACTAAATAAGGATAAAATCCATTAATCCCGATGGTCGGAGAAGGATTTTAAAGGTTTTACCTCTATTTTTACTATTGGGCCCCGCCCTTCTGCCACCCCTCGGAGACCACACCTAATGCTAATACAAAATTGAGTCCCCTTGGCCAAAGGATACTCCAGACTAAATTAGGATAAAATCCCTTAATCCCTATGGTAGAAGAAGGATTTTAAAGGTTTTACCTCTATTTTCCCTATTGGGCCCCACCTCTCTGCCTACAGCGGGGTCAGACACACCGTTTATACAAAATTGGTTCCCCTTCACCCAAGAATGCTTCAGACCAAATATGGACAAAATCCTGCCATTCCTACCGAAGAAGAAGGATTTTGAAGATTTACGTCTATTTCCCCTATTGGGCCCCACCCCTCAGGTCCCAGGGGGGCCACACCCACCGTTTATACAAAATTGGTTCCCCACTACCCAATGATGCTCCACACCAAATATGGACCAAATCCTTTCATTNGGGGGGCCAGACCCACCATTTATACAAACTTTGTTCCCCTTCCCCCAAGGATGCTTTGACCAAATATGGAACAAATCCTTTCCTTCCTACAGAAGAAGAAGGATTTTAAAGTATTTGCTATATTTCCCCTATTGGGACCCACCCCTCAGCCCCCAGGGGGGGCCAGACCCACCATTTATACAAATTTTGTTCCCCTTCCCCCAAGGATGCTTCTGACCAAATCCTTTCATTCCTACAGAAGAAGAAGGATTTTAAAGAATAATTTGCTTTATTTCCCCTATTTGGCCCCGCCCCTCAGGTCCCTGGGGGGCCAGACCCACCATTTATACAAAATTGGTTCTTCTTCACCCAAGGATGCTCCACACCAAATTTTGTTAAAACCCGGTCAGTGGTTCATGACTAGTAGTGTAAAGTTGACGGACGACGGACGCTGCAGTATGGCCTAAGCTCACCTTGGTCCTTCGGACCAGGTGAGCTAAAAATCAATAAATCATAATGGCGACCCTAACTTTGGCACCCTGAAACCTCAACTAATTCTGGGTATTATGTCGACTTAAGTGCAATAACAAATAATGAAAGCCAGTTAGATTGGACAAAGTACTAGTGCAGTCATGTAAGAATATATGACTGAGTTAAATAAACAACTAACAGTTTACCTACCAAATTGTATGACATGTTGATTGTAGTATTTAAGTATGTGACCGAATTCAATAAACAAAAGACAGCTTATCGAACAAATTGTATGACATGTTGATTTAATTTTTTTCGTAAGTGACCAAGTAACATAAACAATTGACAGCTGACGGTTTATAGACAAAGTTAGATAAGATATGGTTTGTACAGGGAGACTAGAGGAGGAACGACAATTAAGATACACAGTAAATCTGTCACAGTAGCCATTTCTCACAGCTTTTTCACTCATCTTGCGACACTTATGACAAACTCACGTATGGTGTCTATTTGTTGTTCATCACCGATCTGTATATGTAATTAATAAAATGACCGAAATAGCTACATGGTACATGCCAATAATTAATTCTGGTCGAGATATTGTGTTCCAGATAGGCATATATTGTCTCATGCACAAGTGTGTCTCAAAAAATTCCTCTAACAAGTGTGAGGATGGCTAGCTACTGCGTCCTTAAGGACAGACTCAATTCTATCATTTTGAAGATTTTTGTTAAAAGTTTGCTGCCATTTCGTGTTATTACCTGTAATTTTTCTCAAAAGTGATAATTCAAATTCTAAGGAATTTGGTATGATTTTATTTGTACTAACATCATACTTATTAACCTTGCCTTGGTCCATTCTAAGATGGTATCTTGCTACGGTAAAGTTCATGTAGTGATGCATTAACTTGATCAGGGGTGGTTTTCATGAAACCTTTCTCATGCTCAAGTATGGATTCTTTTCTCAGACAAACTTTCTTTTAATGTGACACGGTCAAAAAGTCAAGTGTAACACTGAAATAGCATTCGGCTTCAAGTCTCTTGAAATTATTCCATGTCATTGAAAAATGTGATTAATTTATCAACATAAGGCTTCAGCACAGGAATTGAATAACAGCCTAAGAACGGCTTCACTAATACATGTACTGACCTATAATCAAAAATATACAAACCTGTCTCAAGACCAATTTTGTGAAATTGACATTAATCCAAACCAAATATTTCAAGTAAGTACATCACATGATGAAATCTAGGACACTGATTGGCTAACCACAGGAGGATCATGAAACAAAAAGGTTGGCACTATGATGTAGCTCTCAGCGTTCATTGTTTATTATTATTACCATACCGGCAATGTAGTATTTAGTGTTAAATTGTGTGATGTAATAAACCCAGGGGGCAAGCCGGCAGGGTAGTTGGGTGGTCGGGTGGATGGCACACTTGCCTTTCACCAAGGCGGCCAGGGTTTGATTTTACGATTGGACGTGAAAAGGTATGGGGTCACCAGCCCGACCACTTGGATTTTCTGCGGGTACTCCGGTTTCCTCCCACAATAAAACCCCTGATCAATAACATCCGGGCCAATAAGTGCTTAATATAAGTTGAAATAACTTGTTTCACAATTGTTGTAAAATAAATGAAGTTTATATATATATACAGAGGGCAATAATAGATCATATGACTTTTTAGTAAGTAAATATAATCCTTGGTCTGGAAAACATAAACTGATGTTAGTTTTCATCACTTGATACTTGAGTTTTGATTGGTTGATTGGGTTTTATGTCTTAACAACAGCTAAGTTTATGTGACAAAGGCATTCACAGATAAAAGGGTCACAAAGACAATTTCAAAATGGCGTCTTGCTGAAATGTTACAACCTGGACAAGACAGCATAGCTTTCTACATACAGTCATCTTATTCTAGGAATTCTGACACAATAGGTCTTACCTCCTGTAACAATGTCTTGAACATCTGCTGGAAGTTTTTGCCGTGTGTGATGATGTAGTGTTTCCGTGGACGACCATCCCTGCCGACCTCTAGTGGCGGGTCGTAACAGAAGAGAGTGCTCACTGAAACAAACGAAAACCAAATTGTGCACTGCAATCTTACTTCCAGTCTTACTTACTCGATTCTGAATGCAAGCTGTTTAAGGTTTCTATGCTCAGATCTTTCAATATTTTTTCTTTCCTAATTTTCTGCTCCACTACTTTGGAGAATACCCCACTTTAATTCTCAATTGAGAAGCCTTAACATTACCGATTCTTGAAAGTTTTGGAACTTTATTTGAATTTGTCTTCAATCTTTTCAAATGTGAAAAAAATGCAAAATTTAATGAAACCTCTGTAAAAAAAAAACATGATGCAATTTACAAGCTTTGTTCCGAATTATTTGAATTTATATTTGTGATAATTTTTGTTTTTTGAATTAATGTGAAAATAAACATCAAATAAAATATATATCAGCGATTTACAATGAAATACAAGTTTACCTGCCAAACCGGGTCTTAATCCTGGCTGTTTGGTTTTATAATAGTGACCCGTAATGAATGCTGGGATAGATCCAATAGCTTTGCTCTGATTGGTTGCTGCACTCTGTCTCCATAGCGACGAGTGGTATATCCCTCTTGGTAAATCAGCGACCTCCTTTGCCAACATGGCTGCCAAAAATGCTTCATAGTCTGTGGAAAAGTAAGAATTGAAACAGTGTCAAAAAATGTTTCAAAAAGGGCATGAATTGCCATGCATTAGATAGAAATGTATTTGTTGGAAAGAATATTTAAAAGTAGAAATAAGAAAAAATAACAAACATAATTGACAAGGGAAGTTACTCTAAGCCAGAAAACCTCCTTTAGGTTGCTTCTTCTTCTATATAGAGGGGAGACTACTCTTCTATATAGAGGGGAGACTACTCTTCTATATAGAGGCGCGACTACTCTAAGTCAATAAAACTCTTTAGTGAAACTCTTCTTCACAATTATAGCTGATGCAGTGGTACCCTCTACCTTAAGTACCTACTGAGAATAATGTGGCACGTCATTATCAGTGACATATTGCATTACATGTCTCCCAGTAAGATTACAGTAAGATTACAGGAAAGCAAGGAATTGAAGGTAGATCGCTGTATCAATATTCTTCTGTGTACACTGCATACAAAAATTGTAAAGTTGTTTCCTGTTAAATCAATAGTTTCCTCTATATTCATACCAAGATAATTATTGGTTGAAAGTATTTCTATGAGGGAGAGAATATTTTGAACTTATTTCCAGTAAATACCATGTCCAGTACAGAGAAGAAGACAGAAACAAACCTCCCTGCTTTACAATGAAGATGTTTGCTGACCATATCTCTTTGCAGGTGTCGATGGTTTTGGGGAAAAAAGAAACAATATTCAATGTGTTCTTTGATGTAGCCGTATACCTCTTTGTTAATCGACAGGTAAATCCAAGTCAGAACTAGCCATTCTTAAACGCAAAAATTGAATGATGATCGAGATGCTGACAAAGTCAATGGACCATGAAAGGAAGGCCACATCCAGCATTTGATGCATGGGTTGAGATGTCCTACCTAAGATGCAGCTATGGTCCAAGCACTTATACTTTCAGTGAAACTATGTTAAACCCAAAAACTTATGTTGTTGCGGTCGTCGGAAAAGCAACATCTTAGTCTCGCTTCCGCTACTTTGTCGCGGAGAGACAAAAATTACAGAACAAACTGGAACTCTTCCTTGTTGGAGATACATTATACAGAGAGCTGGGTCACTATCCACCTTAAGTCCTTTGCTAATAATTTTTTCTTACTCAAGCAAACATGTAGCTTATGCTTACATCATTAAAATGTCATTCTACTGGCAATATACAAGGATTAACAATTCAACCGTCCTGATCTGAACCCCAGTCAGGATTAAATTCTGAAATATTAACCTGTATTGGACTTCTAAGCAATGGCTTCTAAACCAATAACATAGATATTGTTTATGTCTGGCTAGGCCAGGTCTAATTTAGTGTTACAGTCTGTGTTCAAAAACAATTATATGCAAAAAAATACTTTAAAGAGCAGTTGAAGAGGAATCTACGGGCAGTCGCCACGGTAACATTAATGCGCTATAGCACCCTGGTTACTTCTGTAGACATCAAGGCTACCAAATCTTGCCATTGTGATGTACAAGTTCCAATAAAGCTTATATTGTAGATGTTTGATGAGGGCCGTATAGATATGTTGGTACAAAGTTAATGGAGTGATTTGACTCTGGTGCGAATGAGTACAAGAACAACATGCTCCTTCAATATCAATAACAAGAGGCCCAATGGGCCTGCATCGCTCACCTGGTATTAATCCCACACTTGTAATCTTAAAAAGTGGACTAAAATACATCTACAGGCAGAATATCAGTGTTTGATTCCTAAGAACCTATTTAAAGATTTAAACATAATTTTTTATGACGCCTGTGACGTTGAATGTCGAACATGGACATTAGGTTGAACAGAGTTTATAGTCTTCCAACACAGCATGCATCTGGCAAAATATCATTACACTGGACCTTTTGGTTATATAGAACAAATCATTTAAAGATTTAAACATATATTGACCACTGTGACCTTGAATATGGGTGAAGGTCATTCACTTGGTAGTCCTTCATCCCAGCATGTTAATGGCCAAATATCATCACTCTTGGCCTTTTGCTTGTTAAGAAGAAGTCATTCAATGGTTTTAAACATATTTGACCCCTGTGACCTTGAATATATATGTCAAGGTCATTCATTTGAACAAACTTGGTAGTCCTTCATTCCAGCATGTTACTAGCATTATACTAGGCCTCTTGGTTATTCAGAAGAAGTTGTTTAAAGGTTAAAAACATATTTGACCCCTGTGACCTTGAAAAAAGATGAAGGTCATTCATTTGAACAAACTTTTGTAGCTCTTCATCCCAGCATGCTACTAGCCAAATATCATCACCCTAGGCCTATTGGTTATTCAGAAGAAGTTGTTTAAATGTTTTAAACATATTTGCCCTCTGTGACCTTGAATATAAGTCAAGGTCATTTATTTGAACAAACTTGGTAGCCCTTCATCCCAGCATGTTACTGGCCAAATATCATCATCCTAGGCCTCTTGGTTATTCAGAAGAAGTTGATTAAAGATTTTTACATATTTGACCCCTGTGACCTTGAAAATTGATGAAGGTCATTTATTTGAACAAACTTGGTAGCCCTTCATCAAAGCATGCTTCTGGCCAAATATCATCACCCTAGGCCTTTTGGTTACTGAGAAGAAGTTGTTTAAAGTAAAAAGTTGACGCCGGACGGACGCCGGACGCAGGACGCCGCACCATGCCATAAGCTCACTTGGCCCTTCGGGCCAGGTGAGCTAAAAAAAACCTGACAATACATTCATTTTTATCTACAGTATTGTTTCCCTAGAGGAACAAAATTATAGATATGTACGTTTCAGGTTTTAATTTTTTTAATCCGAACACCTGATCAGTCTGACACAACAATGTAATTCAGATGATGAAGGTTTGATTCATGGTTTATTTAATCAGACTGAAATGTCATATGTCCTGGATATATACTGTAATTACTTTATCCCAAAAGTACAAAGGTGGCCTGCCATTCAGCGATCTCTTAAAATCGTCTCTCGACTCTTATTGTCATTTCACATTACAACGTATCATACTGACGACAGTGAAGAAGATTCAGACAGCCGATACATTCCACAAATATGTACTACATTTTAACGTGGCAGAATGACAAATTAACAGAAAATGAATTACGTTTTTGTACTTGTGAAATATAGATGAAATACAATGTCATCTAAATACATCTCTAGGTGTAACATTCCTTTCCCTATTAATATCTAAGTTTCAAAAGGACAATTTCCTCTATAAAACAAACCTAGAGGCTTCCATGCATAGTTCATTACATTAAAATTAGTATCTTGTTCATGATATCTAGTACGGGTCAGATTTCTCATTTTTTAGTGGGTTATTAAAATTAATAAAATTACAAATGAAATAAAAACTAGAATTATGTCAGTGTGACAATAAAGCCGCTCATCACTTTAAATTTAATTGCTTCAGTAACACGTTGAGCATCAATATCTACTATAATACCTCAGATATGTGTTCTGTATTCTGCTAATTGAAAATCAGGTCATGTGATGATGTTGCCTTTGAAATTTCCAAAATCAATCACCTTTTAAATGATGCCTTAAAAACATTTCTCCCTTTCCTCATTTTCACCCTCTTTTGTGACGCATTGTTGTAATTTTCATTAATTAGCATCCTCCAATGATGTGACATGGGCATTTACGTGCAGAATGGCAATCGGTGAATGGGTAATAAAGAATAGGTGCATTTTGTGCTTGTAACATGAAGGATAAATAACAGTAGTGGGAAAACATGCATGGAGAAAGAGACATTGTACTCCTTTTATTTTTATTTATTTTTTATTCATATTAATAATATATGTAGTGACTTTATTTACTGTCATTGAATATACAATTCATCACAAAGTCTCACAAATGTTCTTGGAATATATTTGAATTATATTTCTCAATGCGACTTTACCAACGTAAGAGTTATTTCCCTTACACCGGATTGGATAATATTTTGACACGGCACAAATTCTTGTCAAACAGCAGCGGCAGTTCTGTCATGTTCCTAAATTGTTAAATTTTCATAAATAAATACACCAGAAATAGCATGCTATGTTATAGAAATGTTTGATAAGCCGCTCGGCTCTCGCCAAGAGCAGCTTAAAAAGTCAAAACAAAAAGCACGAAAAATTCAAATATTGTACACTGAGAAATACCTGGTAGGACTTCTTTTGGTAAAGTCTTCAGAAGACGGGTGTAGCACAAGGCTGGTACTTGCGGGAACAGTTCATCAACAGACACTTCACGCTCCTCCTCATTTGATAGGTGTTCGGCTTGCTGCCTCAAATCCTCTGTAATCTAAACAAAAAACAAAAACAAATTAGAGTGCTGGGGAAGTGCAATAATGACCAATTTTCAACTGAATCCAGTCATATTTAACTCATTCACCCCTGAAATTTCATGATGAACTATTCCAACCTTTGAATTGGAAGAGTTAAATTGTGTCTTCAGGGATAAATAATTAACAAAGTTTTTTTGCAGAAACTGACGACTGATCCGTTTCAATGCAGTATGAAAATTAACTACATGCAGATTTTATCAATATTCATATTCAGCCTTTGTATTTGTATGATATAAATATTGAACAAGTTTCATCAGGGATATGGTCATATCTAATGCAGTAATTGTACAGAAACTGCAAAACTATCAGTACACTGTATGCTAACTAATCAAGCACAGATTTTGGTCATCTTCTAACTTAACGTTTAGTCTTTGAATGATGTGCATGCTTGCCAAATTTGATCAAAATCAATAATATTAAAGCAGATCACGTACTGAAATCAAAGTGTAGATAGATGGACGCTCCAAAGACCAATATAACACATCCTGTCAACATTTTTGAAGAGTATACAAAAACTCAAGACACAAAAAAATAACGCTTTATTGGTTTATTAAACCCTTCTATTCTTCACAAAATAATTCCTCTACATAACGAAATCATATCCATCTTTTTTTTTCTGATCAAAAAAAGAAAATTGTACAAAAGCTGATTTGCATGCATCACTGTCTGTGTGACAATTACATTCTATAGTACCAAACTCTGCTGATGTTCCCAAGCCCGACGCTCTCGTCTCATAGCTGATACACCAGCAGATCTAATCCTGGCCATCTCCCGGGGACACCGGTATTGTAGATATATCGTCTTTAGGGAACGATTTAACACCGATTCGTCTTTTTCATGTCTTGTTGACAGGTTCTCAAGATTCTGGAACCGTCTTGTCAAGAAAAACCACTTTTGTGACAGATAATCTGACTTCAGAGAAACCTGGTTGTAAGGGCACCTTGCACTTTTGTTAAGAATACATGTATGATACCCCATCACACTGCATCATCCTAAAACCTATATGGATCCTACATGCACTTGCTGATGTTATAAATTAAGCCTGCTTGCTTTGACAGCCAGATAAGTCCGCCAATATAGGTCTGTGTTCTGCCAGAACTATAAATCAACAGTTTCAGAAGATAAGTAATTTTATTTTTCATTATCTGCAAAGAAGCGACTCTGATTTACCGACTGTAGTTATAGAACTTTAGGTTACGAAATGGGGGCATCAATTTAAAATTTCAAACTTCCAAAAAAAATTGTTTAAAGTACAAAACCTATAGGATGTTATTATGTGCTGAAAATCAGAGATTTAGATCAAATATTTAAATAAAAAATTGAAATTCTATCTTGCATTTTAAGGCCTTTTACGACAGAGCACTTCAAACAGTGACATATCAAGTTGCCAACTCAATTTGTAAATTACACGTATATCCAGCTGGCAAGTAATTAACATGTAACGTGTGAAATAGACATTTTGTTTGAAGTCTCTGGTCAATTAAGTCAAATAATTGTCACATCCAGTAACAAGGAGGCCTGAAGGAGTGTTACTGGATTGTCACATCCAGTAACAAGGAGGCCTAAAGGAGTGTTACTGGATTGTCACATCCAGTAACAAGGAGGCCTGAAGGATTGTTACTGGATTGTTACATCCAGTAACAAGGAGGCCTGAAGGAGTGTTACTGGATTGTCACATCCAGTAACAAGGAGGCTCTTAGGGGTGTTACTGGATTGTCACATCCAGTAACAAGGAGGCCTGAAGGAGTGTTACTGGATTGTCACATCCAGTAACAAGGAGGCCTGAAGGAGTGTTACTGGATTGTCACATCCAGTAACAAGGAGGCCTGAAGGAGTGTTACTGGATTGTCACATCCAGTAACAAGGAGGCCTGAAGGAGTGTTACTGGATTGTCACATCCAGTAACAAGGAGGCCTGAAGGAGTGTTACTGGATTGTCACATCCAGTAACAAGGAGGCCTGAAGGAGTGTTACTGGATTGTCACATCCAGTAACAAGGAGGCCTGAAGGAGTGTTACTGGATTGTCACATCCAGTAACAAGGAGGCCTGAAGGAGTGTTACTGGATTGTCACATCCAGTAACAAGGAGGCCTGAAGGAGTGTTACTGGATTGTCACATCCAGTAACAAGGAGGCCTGAAGGAGTGTTACTGGATTGTCACATCCAGTAACAAGGAGGCCTGAAGGAGTGTTACTGGATTGTCACATCCAGTAACAAGGAGGCCTGAAGGAGTGTTACTGGATTGTCACATCCAGTAACAAGGAGGCCTGAAGGAGTGTTACTGGATTGTCACATCCAGTAACAAGGAGGCCTGAAGGAGTGTTACTGGATTGTCACATCCAGTAACAAGGAGGCCTGAAGGAGTGTTACTGGATTGTCACATCCAGTAACAAGGAGGCCTGAAGGAGTGTTACTGGATTGTCACATCCAGTAACAAGGAGGCCTGAAGGGGTGTTATTGGATTGTCACATCCAGTAACAATGAGGCCTGAAGGAATATTACTGGATTGTCACATCTAGTAACAAGGAGGCCTGAAGGAATGTTACTGGATTGTCACATCCAGTAACAAGGAGGCCTGAAGGGGCGTTATTGGATTGTCACATCCAGTAACAAGGAGGCTCTTAGGGGTGTTACTGGATTGTCACATCAAGTAACAAGGAGGTCCTTAGGGGTGTTACTGGATTGTCACATCAAGTAACAAGGAGGTCCTTAGGGGTGTTACTGGATTGTCACATCCAGTAACAAGGAGGCTCTTAGGAGTGTTACTGGATTGTTACATCCAGTAACAAGGAGGCCTGAAGGATTGTTACTGGATTGTTACATCCAGTAACAAGGAGGCCTGAAGGAATATTACTGGATTGTCACATCCAATAACAAGGAGGCCTGAAGGAGTGTTACTGGATTGACACATCCAGAAACAAGGAGGCCTGAAGGGGTGTTATTGGATTTTCACATCCAGTAACAATGAGGCCTGAAGGAGTGTTACTGGATTGGCACATCCAGAAACAAGGAGGCCTGAAGGAGTGTTACTGGGTTGTCACATCCAGTAACAAAGAGGCCTGAAGGAGTGTTACTGGATTGGCACATCCAGAAACAAGGAGGCCTGAAGGGGTGTTATTGGATTGTCACATCCCGTAACAATGAGGCCTGAAGGAATATTACTGGATTGTCACATCTAGTAACAAGGAGGCCTGAAGGAGTGTTACTGGGTTGTCACATCCAGTAACAAAGAGGCCTGAAGGAGTGTTACTGGATTGGCACATCCAGAAACAAGGAGGCCTGAAGGGGTGTTATTGGATTGTCACATCCAGTAACAAGGAGGCCTGAAGGAGTGTTACTGGAGTAAGTGGTGCATGTCTGCAACACATGCATTTACTTTAAAGGTTCTGATCTTTGATCTTGAATCTTGTTCGCTCAATCTGACCAGTGTGTATTCTGACATGATGTCTAATTTGACCACTGGATATTCTAATGTCCTGTCTAATCTGAATCCTGTGTATGTTGACGTCCTGTATAATCAGACCCCCCATTATTATGATGTCCTATCTAATCTGACCCCTGCATATTATGATGTCTTGTCTAATAAGACCATCCAGTATTTTGATGTCCTGTCTAACCTGACCCCTGTGTATTCAGACCTGTCTAATCATATCCCCCAGTATTCTGATGTCCTGTCTAATCTGACCCCTGGTCTAATCATACCACCAGTATTCTGATGTCCTGTCTAACCTGACCCCTGTGTTTTCTGACCTGTCTAATAATACCATCCAGTAGTCTGATGTCCTGTCTAATCTGACCCATGTTTTCTGACATCCTGTCTAATCCAGTACATAACACAGAGTAAAACCTTTCTAATCTGACCCTAAGATATTAATAATCTCTCCGATATGACGCCAGAAAAATGTATTATATTATGACTTAAATCCAACCAATGAGCATTCTGAATTTCTTTTTTATCTGACCCCTGAGTATTCCAACACAGTGTCTTATCTCACACCTGAGTATTCCTACTTAGCTCTGTTACCTGTAATCCAAACCCTGAACAATTTCCTGTATAGTCTAACTTATCATTGTAATTTATTGTACCACTATATTGTGTCTTAGGGTGTTGAATTAACCAGGTTTTGATGTAGTTCCTTTTCAACAATAAGCAAGAGTGATCCTCAGAAAAGATAAATATCTGGCACCGACAACACCAGACTGTTCTAGTAGTACAAGTGAATGGTTATCCAATCATTTCTGGAGTAGTGTGCATTATGATGCCAAACAATTTCATATTGATAAGAATGTGCTTGATTTTAATCAAAAGGAAGCAGGTAATTTATTGAGTGTGAAGATCTTCTTGACAAAAACATGGTTTATGACCAATATTACAAGTTTATAAAGGTTTTGTAGAATATCTGGTAGCATCTGGAAATCTTTCTTGGACCTAAAACAAAAGCACAGGATTGTAAAATTATCCTCTGACAATCTCACGGAAGCATTCCTGTACCTTCATGCTCAATCAGTTTTTTGGAACTGCCAGATGCTACTTTGGATCTGGGCAACATTTTTAGTTAAGATTTGGATCCTCTTTTGGTACTTAACCGCAGAGTTTATTTAGCTGTATTGGCATTGGAAAGTAGTCGTTTATCTCTCTGATGTTCTGAACAGCAAATTGTACAGTTATACAAATATCTGGTGTTTATTTGACCATTAAGTGACCACAGAAACCAACAGGATCTGATTATAATTTGTGAGTATGTTTGGAAAGTTATATCAAAAGAAATGTGTAACACAGGTATACCTTTGAACTATCAACTTGTTTCAATCAGGAAATTATGTTTCACTTTTAACATTCTTTATTCAATGAAAAAAAACCAATAAAATAAATTCTTGTAAATGGATGTCAGTGGTCACTGTGTCATAAACATGAATGGAGAAATTGCTGCAACATACTTTGTCATGTTACAAGCATCAGCAGCCTTTGTAGTGATGCTGTGTCAGTTATCTCCCTTGAGTAATACAGGAAGAAGATGTCATGATCACCTACCATTTAATTTGAATGCAGTTTACAGTGACTCATAAAAGTACAGCCTAATTATGGTACGAAAAATGGCATTTCTTTTATAAAGACTACCAATTTATGGTTTTGCATTTAAAAATGTCCTTTTGCACAATAATATCAAGTTTCCAGGAAATGCCGGAAATGATAAGGATAGTAATAATTTGCATTCCATTCTTTGAACACAGGATTTTTAAACGTATCCTTCTGTTTGGTGTTGTTTTAGCATCCTTGTAGAATAAAAGATATCCTATTAACAAAGACACCATCAACAGTGTATACACATAAAAAAGGTATAATTTAACAGTATCATAAAAACAGTTCTGATATGTTTCGCTGATATTGATTCAATCTCAAATTATTCCTACCAAGACAATGTTAAATTGAATCAAGCTAGGATGCTTTTGCATGAGCAAAAATATCGTTATTTTCTGCTGCACTTATGTGTTATAAACATGGTGTTCTAAGGGAAACCATTAAATTTCCTTTTTATTACATTTTTAAAGGAGAATGACGGAAATACTGCTGCATCACAGAACTGTGGGAATTAGAAGCATCACAGTTAAGGCCAGGTTCTAATGACATCTTGCTTGACAACAAGGCTGTACACCATTTTGACTGGGCTATACTCTACACAATTCTACTGCATGTTTTTGGCTATTTCCTGCTTACATAAAAGTTATCAATTAGCTAATGTAGGTATATTTATAACTTAGTGTATAAAAAACAACCACTTATTCTACCGTCGATTCATTTGCAAGCAAACAGAACATTTGTGGCAGTAAGTATACATACCATTCTGTTTGATCAATATGAAATCAATGTGAGACACCACTATATCTTCACAGGCGAAGATGGAACATTTCCTATACTTACACTACAGTGAATAAAGACGTGTTTTTATCACACACAGATAATATTTGATATTTCACTGATAAAAATAAAACAAATGTCATACATTATTGCTGAAAATTTTGTTTGGAAATGGATGATTTTCAAAACTATCTTCCAAAGATTTGGTACCAGTTTGGATACATGTTCTTTATGGTGACTTTTATAACTACAGAGTGTTGATTGCGTGCGACAGTTACACATTCACCATCCTAACTCATGTGACTTGTAACTCAAATCGAAATTATAAATAAGGAGATTGGTTTTGTGAAACGTGCTCTCACAACAAATATGATAACATGATACCAATTTTATTTCACTGCTTTGACAGCTAAAATAAAATACCACATATTTTTTTCATTTTTTCAGACCTCTTTCCAAAACGCTTTTGAATTTTGCCAAAAAAAAATGCCGAACGAGAAATAAAACATAGCTTAGTCAAGTAATTGTAGTTTAGTATATTATCTCAATTTTGTGGTGCGTCAGATATATTTTACCGATATTGGACTGTTGCATCCTGATTTACTGTGTCATCACTCTAGGTACTTAATATCGTGACACTTTTGTTCAATTTCGTACAGAAATCAAGTTTGAGGTTACCCCGATTTATGTATTTTAGGGCTCCTTAAAGTTAAAGGTCAAGGCCAAGGTCACTGTTACTATTTATGGAAAATTGTCCATTAATTCAGTGACATCACTCCATTAACTCCATTTTTTAACAGAATTGGATTGAACTTCATACAAAGTTTGAGCGAATAAAGTATATAACACTCAAATGATTGTGTATTCCAGGTCCAAAGGTCAAAGCTAAGGTCAACAAATAACAGTAGATATATTTAGATCAAATGAGATAACATTAACCGAACATCAACAAATAATTGTTTTATCATCAATTTCTACACATCCACAAAAAAGGGTAATTAGATGTGATGGTGTGATTTTGAGTTAAGATGGTGTGTATCTGCCCCAGATGGTGTGATTTTGAGTTAAGATGGTGCGTATCTGCTCCAGATGGTGTGATTTGAGTTAAGATGGTGTGTATCTGCTCCAGATGGTGTGACGACTATAATTGTACATGTACTCACATGTCTGGGGAGATGGGACACCTTGAACTGGTCTGCCCTATACATGGCCAGGGCCTGGAATGCAGCCCCGCACACTTTTGTGTCATCACTATTGGTATACAGCCACAAATTCATCACAGCATCTTCACAGAATTTCTACAAAAGAAACAAAATATCTTATTTGAGGATTGAGGAGGGAGAGGATTCAGATATATATATGTATTTGGAAAAGTTTTTACCTGAATTACTGCGGAAATTACCTTACCTTAAATACACAATGATGGTTCTCCACTTTTGAAGTCAGTTTTATTCTAATGAAGCTTTTGTGGACATACATCCATAGAGTGGTTTGTTGATGATTCTGAACTTGTAACATCAGATAGAAACAAATCTTAGATAAATCAGTATTTATTTCTGAATTATAGCTGATGGTTCTTACAATAGGTGAATTTGGCAGAGTGGTTTACGCTCTCACCTTCCAGGGAGTTGTTATTTCATGGGATTTTTAGAGGAAGTGTTTTGTCCTGTCCAAACAAACTCAAATAACTGGGTGGATTATATAATGTCCTGGGGTGGTGACTTACAGTTTTTGTGCTGTGATATGCAAAAATATGCCTTTGAAAGCATAGTCTTACTGTTAAAAAAGGAGATTATTATGCTTCCAGCACACGCACAAACATTTGGAGGTATTAGCCAGGTGGCATAGGACCAAACAGTTAGCACTGGAATTAGGCAGCTACTGTGAGGTCCTCATATTGTATTAATTGTATTAAATGATTGTAAGAGTTGAATATCTATGTACATGTACTATAAAGTGGTGTATTCCAGCTATAGATAGAGAGTTATATCAAATATGGTGTCACAATATTCATTTCTATTAAATATTAGTTTCAATTAAATAAAGATTCTTATTCTAAAATTGTTCAAATTTGCAATACCTTTTCTATCAACTAAAGGTAAACAAGCTTTATCTACCGTACTCCTCAGTGTAGGGAACCCCATGTCAGTCTTATATACTAGGACAACGACTTGAAGAATTGATTCAGCTGCCGAGATCAGACCTATTTATTTTTCAATATTTCAAGCTTTAACAGATTTTAAATTGTTTTCAGATGGAGATTTATACCAACGACCTCTTACGTTGACAGCTATTCCAATATAAATCTTAATTAATTTGTCTATATTATCTGTTATAGAGGTTATAAAGGGTGGTATTCTTACAACGTGGGGATAGATATTGACAATCTATCAATCATAAAAACTGTATTGCTTTTGTTCCTTTCTATCAATTTTTATCAAATGAAATACACTTTCGTATAGTAGTAGTCAACTTATATATTTGAAATAATATGACCTTTCCCCCCCCCCCCTTTCCTTCATCGTTTTTGCTTATTTTATAATCTATTTGATCCTATTTGGAATTGATCTGAGCTACAGAAATGCATTATCCCAGAGATTAGATTAATCAGAATTGGGATTTCACCGACAGCAGAAATGTTGTAAACGTCAAAAATCAATAAATTTTCTACAATTCCTTCAATCAATTTTGAATGCAATGTCAAATTCAATTTCATTAGAAAATATAGCTTCTAGTTAGAGTAATGAGGCGAATCAAACAAAATTTCAGCAACAATTGTTTCAGAACTAGAACACTGACAGGTCAGGAAGGGCCCCGTCTTGTGGCAATATATCCCCTATAATCATCACGAAGCAATCTGCCCATATAGCTGAGCTCGACGCTCGACGTTTGGACGCAAGGAAGCAAAATATACATTTTACATGTACTATGATGCGAGTCTTGTTTCCTTCCAGCTCCATATTTGCTGGGCTAACAGAAATGTAAATACCGGTGCAATACTCATTTGTTAGCTTTGATTTGTTTTATTTCACCTTATATACCTCCTCCATCAAGAGCCAGGGTCAAAGTCAGAGATCCACTTTATCTTTGACCTTTGGACCCAAATGACCTTGACCATTAACCCAGTGACCCTCATCTTTGGTCAGTTGACTTATTCTTTAATTCCAACCAACTTTGCTTTTTGATATCATAACAAAATGTTCATCAGGGAAAAGGTACAAAATTTAACCTTGACCTTTGCCCCAATGACCTTGACCTTTGGTCAGTTGACTCCTTTTTTAATTCTGATCAACTTTGCTTCATTATGTCATAACAAAATATTCATCAGTGAAAAGATGCAAAATTTGACCTTGACCTTTGAACCTAATGACCTTGGCCTTTGACCTTGTCTTTTTACCTCAATGTGTATTTTTGTGAACTGAACATCTTGACCAAGTTTCATGTACATCGGTCAATAAATACTAAAGTTATCAGCCAGGAACATAATTTGTGGACGGACAGACAGACAGAGAGATTACTATAGGGCACCCGTATCTCCGATACGGGGCCCTAATTACAAACAGATGTTCCTTTTTAATTTCAATCATTACAAGGTAGAAACAAGAAACCACCAATGGCGATATGCCGGAATAATTGCTACAGTACATTTTCATGTAAAGCATTACATGTGATACGCATCCTTTAAGATACAGTTGAACCTCGTTATCTCGAAGTCGACGGGATCGTTGGGAAACTTCGAGTTATCCGAGTATTCGAGTTAAGCTAGTTCCTATGTTTGGCATAAAGCTTGGTAAAGTTCCAATATGAAGCTATATGTATGTCATTGATTTCTCTGGCAATCAACGTATCTAAACAGTCGATAAATGACAAAAAGATAACTATATAGAATAAAAAATATACAACTTATTCATAATCATATTCATTAATTAATTAATGTTACAATAAACACACATGCTGTCTCCGGCCTCGTGCTATGGTGATAGAAATTTCAATGCGGAAATGAAAGTGCACATGTCTTTATACAAATCACTGTATTGGAGCGTACACGTTGGATTGCTCAGTTGATTTCGACATTCCGAAATGGGTATGAGTTAATCAGGAAACATATTCACATTTATAGACTCCGATGACACTTGACATCTCCTCAACACGACGTAGTCAACAAGAATTATGGTATTGTTCCTATAATCTCTCAATTAATTATCAATGCCATCCAAGCTCCTGTAAAAACATAAACCAACGAACCAGTCCTAGGTTGTGATTTTTACTGTGGAGCTTATTTACGCATGACCGCACACGGTGACCCATTTTCCGGTTAGAATGTGTCCGCAGCTTTGGTATAAATAAAGTGCTTTTCAAATTGTTTACGGGCTCGCAGTAAGTACTAATTGTTGTTAATCAACATTGATGAAGTTTGTTTCTTTATTTGTACAAAGTGTTTTTACAGTCAAACACATTTTAATGCCATAAGTTTAATCTAAGTAATTATGACCGAGCGTAAGCTGCTCTATGAGAACGATGTTTACCGTAGCACGTATCAAATAATTAAAGAATATATGATAGACTTGTGAATCTTAAGAAACTTCGAGGTAGGAGATATTTTTATGTAGGATTTACGTTGTTGGGACCGATGTTTCACTTCAGGATATCCGAGTTTTTCGAGTTTTCAGAGTTCGAATTATCAGAGTTTTTATTAGTAAGATTAAGAAGAGTTTTGGCCGGGACCGATGAAATACTTCGAGTTAAACGGGGTCTTCGAGTTATACGAGTTTGAGATAACGAGGTTCGACTGTACTTAAGCCATGCAAGTTAAGTTGCTTAGTAACTGACCTTAACCAATCTTCTTAACCTGGTCACTGAAGCAGAAAATGTTGGTCAGAAGCAGCATCCGAAGCATCACATGTGATAAGCATCCTTAGATACATAAGCCATGCAAGTTTCATTGATGTATAACAAGTGATAACTTGGTAATTTAAGTGACCTAAACCAATCTTCTTAACCTGGTCACTGAAGCAGAAAATGTAGGTCCGAAGCAGCATCCTAAGCATAACATGTGATAAGCATCCTTAGATACATAAGCCATGCAGGTTTAGTTGATGTGGGATAATTAATAACTTGAAAACGGAGCTTAACCATTCTTCTTAACCTTAGTGCAGACAAATAGACAGACGGCCAGCTGTCCGGCCGGGAATCGCCAATCTACAAGCCCTGATTGCGTTGCAATCCGGCCAAAAACAGTTTCATGGTGATAGTTATCTGTGACGGTAAAAATAAACTATGAAATTTGTTTTTATTCAAAATTATCTTATTTCCTGCAAGTCACTTAAACCAGATAAACTGCAAAACAAACCTAATCTGGACTTTCTGCATTCCTGTCTAATCTGACCCTTTGTATTACAAAATACTGTCTAATCTGACCCAAGTATTCTGACTAACAATCTGTCCAAACCGACAATGCTATAATCTCATGTCTTTTGAAAACTACCAAACAAGACATTCATATTCAAACATCTTGTGTTGTATAAACAAACCCTCTGTGAATTATTTTTGAATTGTTTAATATCAGGGTTTTTTTGCAGCTGATTATTCCAAAATTAGCTAGGATATAAGTCAGTGTAGTCTTAACTTAAACTCTGACAGAATGACAATCTACCTTTCTGTTTGTACCAGAATCAGACTATGTCATTGCATGTATAATAGTATATTGGCAACAGTTATGTTTATAACACACCCAATTATGATGGTTGGTAACCTTACATTTCCTATCCTTACTTTACTGGTGTGTTTTGATGTTTTTAATATCCCCCTTATTAGCACCACCTCTTTAATATCTCCCTCAGCACCACCTCTTTAATATCTTCCTTATTAGCACCACATCTTTAATATTTCCCTTATTAGCACCACCTCTTTAATATCTCCCTTATTAGCACCACCTCTTAAATATCTTCCTTAGCACCACCTCTTTAATGTCTTCCTTATTAGCACCACCTCTTTTATATCTCCCTTATTAGCACCACCTCTTTAATATCTCCCTTATTATCACCACCTCAGCACCACCTCTTTTATATCCCCCTTATTAGCACCACCTCTTTAATATCTCCTTATTAGCACCATTTCTTTTATATCCCCCTTATTAGCACCACCTCTTTAATATCTCCCTTATTAGCACCACCTCTTTAATATCTCCCTTATTATCACCACCTCAGCACCACCTCTTAAATATCTCCTTATTAGCACCACCTCTTTAATATCTCCCTTATTATCACCACCTCAGCACCACCTCTTAAATATCTCCCTTAGCACCACCTCTTATATCTCCCTTATTAGCACCACCTCTTTAATATCTCGCTTATTATCACCACATAAGCACCACCTCTTTAATATCTCTCTTATTAGCACCACCTCTTTAATATCCTCCTTATTAGCACCACCTCTTTAATATCTCCCTTATTATCACCACCTCAGCACCACCTCTTAAATATCTCCCTTAGCACCACCTCTTATATCTCCCTTATTAGCACCACCTCTTTAATATCTCGCTTATTATCACCACATAAGCACCACCTCTTTAATATCTCTCTTATTAGCACCACCTCTTAAATATCTCCCTTATTAGCACCACCTCTTTAATATCTCCCTTAGCACCACCTCTTATATCTCCCTTATTAGCACCACCTCTTTAATATCTCGCTTATTATCACCACATAAGCACCACCTCTTTAATATCTCTCTTATTAGCACCACCTCTTTAATATCTCCCTTATTAGCACCACCTCTTTAATATCTCCCTTAGCACCACCTCTTATATCTCCCTTATTAGCACCACCTCTTTAATATCTCGCTTATTATCACCACATAAGCACCACCTCTTTAATATCTCTCTTATTAGCACCACCTCTTTAATATCTCCCTTATTAGCACCACCTCTTTAATATCTCCCTTATTAGCACCACCTCTTTAATATCTCCCTTATTATCACCACCTCTTTAATATCTCCCTCATTAGCACCACCTCTATAATATCTCCTTTATTAGCACCACCTCAGCACCACCTCTTTAATGTTTTCCTTATTTGCACCACTTCTTTAATGTCTTCCTTATTAGCACCACCTCTATAATATCTCCCTCAGCACCAACTCTTATATCTCCCTTATTAGCACCACCTCTTTAATATCTTCCTCAGCACCACCTCTTCAATGTCTCCCTTATTAGCACCACCTCTTTAATATCTCCCTCAGCACCACCTCTATAATATCTCCCTCATTAGCACCACCTCTTTAATATCTCCCTTATTAGCACCACCTCTTTAATATCTCCCTCAGCACCACCTCTTCAATGTCTCCCTTATTAGCACCACCTCTTTAATATCTCCCTCAGCACCACCTCTTATATGTCTCCCTTATTAGCACCACCTCTTTAATATCTCCCTCAGCACCACCTCTTATATCTCCCTTGTTAGCACCACCTCTTTAATATCTCCCTTGTTAGCACCACCTCTATAATATCTCCCTCAGCACCACCTCTTTAATATTTCCCTCAGCACCACCTCTTTAATATCTCCCTCAGCACCACCTCTTTTATATCTCCCTCAGCACCACCTCATTTTGGCTGTATTTGCAGATTATTTGCCCATGTAGGGAAGGTAAAACAGCAGCTTTTCATATGTTTATAATAAATATTACTTCAATGAAACAAATTTATACAAAGAAAAAAATCGAAAATGCTTTCACAACTTTACCTCATAATCTGCAGTCTGTTCTTCCAATGATGGTACAAGTGAAAACAGTTCACATATCTTTTCAACTACCGCAGGTCTGAAAAGAACGATAATTACTCCACATCACACTGGTTTTAATAAATTATGAAACTAATGAAAATTAAGAACTTTGAAATAAGGAATATTCATAGAAAATTTGTAGATTTATCACCTGCTTAAGGTAACAAGAATGCACATTTTTTTCAGAGGTATCTTTGATACTTTGATACATTTATGCTATATTCAAAGAAGGGCTATCTAGTTTGAGAAGTCACTAAGAAATGGTAAACCTGCAGCAATGTGTGCAAAATACACCAGTCAAACCTTGGTTAGATGATATAATTCTTGTCTTTCAGAGAATTTTTATGAGGCTAATAATGAACAAGATTGATGCAGAGGCAGAAAAATAACCGCTCGTTCAATGCCATGCCCAGATTTTGTCATCCTCGATACTCCAGGGTTAACGCTCATTTTCGCTCTCTGCATCCCCGGAATATGTCATCCAAAAATTGAAGGCATGCAGCTAGCTATTTGATTGGTCCCTGACCAATCACTTAAGGCAGATACCTGTCATTACAAAGGAGTGACAACCGACTTCAAAGCCAGTCTATTGTACTGTTACTCGACCGGGAGATTCTTTTGATGTACATCAAAGGATCAAACTAGTCTTCTCCTCTCATCCCGTCCACAAGGTGGTGCACTCTAGGCCTTCAATTTTGCCACAACATATTCCAGGAGGTGCAGAGAGCTTTAGTGAGCGTAACCCCTGGAGTATCAAGGATAAGATTTTGTTCAACGTTGAACTTAGCCTTTAATTGTCTTGGAACATTATGAGTATTGACCAAGTTTCATCAGACTCAGCCATATCTTATTACATTATTGTGCAGCCAACCAATCACTGTAGTTTACTAATCAAGTACTTATGGATTTTGCTTGAGTTTGAATCCAGCTTCAGTAATTGTTCACTGTAAATGATTATAAAATTTCATCAAAATCGTATACTATTATAGTCATTGCTGGAATGGTTAACAGACGGACAAGGTTATTGCTACAGAGATATCAATGTAGACCGATGACCAAAGTGCACTCCAAACAAGAGGCCCACAGTTCCTGTATCCCTCATCTGGGCAATTGAACTGAAGAAGGATTTTAAACGATTTACCTAAAATTCCCTTATTGGGCCCTGCCCCTCTTACCACAGGGGGGCACACCCTTCATTTATACAATATTGAGTCCCCTTTGCCTAAGGAACTCCAGGCCAAATTTAATTAAAATCCATTAAGCTGTTCAGGACTTTAAGTGTTTTAAAGGAAAAGTTGACGGATGGATGAACAAAGGACGCCGCGCCACAGCATAAGCTCAAACTTCATCCCCTTGTGTAAAGAACATTAAATTTTGGTTTTCAAACATTTTGGATATTTATAGTAAATAAAACATTTAAAATGTTTTGGTTTTTTTTACATTTAAGAGGGTTTAAGCATTGAGGAGTAACCTTTAACCAGATAAGGTAATTTGTGAATGGTTTAAGTAAACTTATTCATATTTTCTGTTATCGAATTTGTCAAAATGGTAAGTTCTAGGAGGTGTAACACAAACTCAGTAAAAAGCCTTCACATGTGGTGCGTCAAAATATTTTATTCAATACAGAGAACTTTTCAAGTTCTCAAAATATCTCACTGTCATTTAATTATCACATACACTTCAAGAAACACTGATATGGAGCGAAAACAGGTTTTGTTTGTTCTCGGGGGTAGAATAACATTTCTGTAAAGTACATTTGAAATCGAGTCAGCCTTCTACGAATGTCAACTAGGCTCCTTAAATAAAATTCAAACTGTCTTTCGTCAGCGTCCATCTATCCAGAGTATTGCAGTTAGCAAATGTATGTAATCTGCGGAGGTTTCACAGAATCCTTACAACGTAGAAGTATCAATTTGAAATGGGAATATTTACATTCTGTTGATGGATTTTATTTTAGAATTAATAGATCTCTCTTTTTTCTTTCTTTTTTTTTAGATTAGTGAAAATACCTAATGTTAAAATATAAGATGAATTAGATTTAGCTTATTTCATTTCTTTTCTTCTTGTTTTTATTTATTTTGTAAATCAATAGTCTATTTTGAGATTGTAGGTTTTCATAGATATGTTTCCACAAATAACGTTTGGCATATAAAAGAAATCCATTTTTCGAACCATTGCTGACAAACCGATCTCCGAAACCATACCGGTACTTGCCACTTCTGCCTTTTTCTAAGGTTTCTGATTTATCTCATTTCTAAAATGAGGTTGAAAAATCGTGAGCCACAAAAAAGTCATAGTGGTGTATTTTCTCTTTCATGTATAGCAAAGCTTATAAAATTGATTTTTGAGAGTTTCTTACAATGGGTCCAGCTGTATGTCCCTTGGGTTTGTAAAAATACCTTGTATGTTATATTTTGAAAAGTGCATTTTCTCTCGAGAACATAAAAGATAATTTAAGTGCTTGAAGTCTCCTTAATCATAATTTAGGCTTTTTTTCAGAAATAAAAAAAATCACAAGCACTTTTTTACCTAAACTTCAATGTATTGACTCTGAAGATAGAAGGTGAACTTTACAGAGTTTTTTTTTTCAAGACTATAAAAATCCCTGATGGATGTGAAACGACATAATATAAATTGAAGAAAAGGAAGTAATTAAGAAGATGTGTTTTATACCGTGAATCCCGGACGAGACTGTCAGCAAGCACGGACCAGGCAGACAGGATGTTAATAACCTGAGGGTAGATATAAAATAAGGAATGTGTCAAAAAATTGAAAAGTCATTATGAGGAAATTACTTTCGTCAGACATATTGACCGTATCATAGACATTTTTGATAACTTTGCTGAAAATGACATGAAGAAACACTACACAAAGTGTTATGTTAATTATCAATTTTTGCTGGCAGACATTTTTTCATCCAGAAATTTAGCTTGATGATTCATATATAAGACCTGTGTATTTCATCTCAAATAAACAATAATCTGTGAAGTATTTAGCAATCATCTAAATGTGCACAAATAAAAGTAACCGGATAATGTATTGGGCATAATTTAAAAATATACTTTGCATCGTCTAAAACCATTTCATTTCTTTTTTTCTAAATAGTTTTATAACTTTGTTCTTCAAGGTAAACATTAGTTTGTCAAAATTGCTTTTGAAGTATTTTGCTGTGTGTAAGTATGCAATACGCAACAGATAATTTATTCTCTTGGCCTAACAATGTGCCTACCTCAGCTTCACATAGGAAGTAAAGTCCTTCCAGAGCCAGAGACGATACAGCTGCCTCTTCCTCTCCAGGACAGAGGGTGAGAATGTCCGATAGAGGACCAAGCATGTCCGTACCGTGTTGTTCTGGTCTGTGAAACAAAACACAATTTACTAACCAAGTTATTTATAGAAATGGTGCAGCAGAATTTATTTCGGTTTTCTCCAAAGGCCTCCAAACAGAACGAAACAGAATTAGCATAACTCTAACTTAATATGCATATTCATCAATATTAATTTGCATATTTATCCATGTTCATTTGTATATTTATCTACCTTAATTTGCCTATTTATTCACCTTTATTTGCATATTCATACACTTAATTTTTCATTATCATCTACCTTAATTTGCATACATCCCGGATGGCCTTTGCCTTGACCAGCAATACTTCCAGGGAGTATCCTTTTGGTGATTCCATGATCTCCTTCAGCAGTTGTGGGAAGCATCGGTCCTGGATCTTCCATAAGTCTGTCAACATCTGCAGGTAAGTTCCCTTCATCGCCGGAAACGTGCCAAAGGACTGGATAGTTTTCAGGATAGGCCCAACACACACCTAGTAAAGTTTCGTTTGTATATCTTTAAATTCTTAAGCTTATATTTCAAAAGTAGAAAATAGCGAATCTGATGCGACTACTTACTTTTTTCAACAAAATTACACCAAGAAAAATCTCTCAATTTACAAAATTAATTAACTAATTATAATGCAAGGTAACGTTTCTTACTACAGATAATAAGTCTGGAAGAATATTAAAATTACCATATTTTACAGATTGTAAGTCCAGCCTAAATAAAAGTCCTTGCATAAGGGACAACAACTGTATACACATATATAAAGAGTAGAAATGCACCTTATGTGTAGCAAGCTTGGGTATCGTCATCAGGATATCAAATCTGACAGACGGAGTGCTCTCACTTCCTAGCTGGTACAGCATTAGCGGCAAAAACCATGGAGCCTGTTGGGAGAAACACAAGAAGTAGGCTGTCTTCATAGAAATTGATTTCAGTTTTTAAAGAAAATGTTGGCACAAAATTCAAGGGCATTTCAAGGACTTTTTTGATAAATTGAAGGAAACAATACATATATTTACTTTTTCATTCCATAAAGAACAAACAATAAAATAGTTTTGTTTCAATGACTGCTGTTTCTTGCTTTTCTAGCGAGACGTCAGGTGATGTTCCAATAACATCAATTCCGACAGATTTTAAGCAACAGTTATAAACATGTGTTTGTTGCCTTTCATACTAGGCTTATGCCATCAGCTCAGGGTCTTATACCTAATGTGTCATCTAGGAGATGCAGGCTTACATGTGTTATCTGACTGAGAAGAAGTGCACTGATGACTACGATTTACCAGATATTCTTATAAAGGTTACTTATAAAACCAACAAGTGGTCTGGATACAGAAGAAGTATACTGCCACATTGATACAATTCTTTAAGGTAATAGGTTTGTGTCACCATTTCTCAGTAGAATTTCTTCAAATTTTGTAGTTATATTGCTTTGAAGTAAAGAAAATGTTCTGGCCCCGAAAAAATATATGTTGTCAGAATTTGAAGGATTTTAAATGGAAATTTATGTAAAAAGGAGTGAATTTTGAAAAAAAATGGAAGACACAATTTTTTGCAAAACAATGTCAATAAAAATGATACTGCCATAGATTAGTATTGCATTAATGTGTATCAATTTAATAAATGCTGAAATTGTGTAAAATAAATTATCTATGAGCGGTTAAAAATTGACATTTTATAATACAACCATACACATAGTAATTGCATGTAAGAGTTATCTTTCTTGAAAAACTTCATAGGTAGCCGGTTTCCTGAAGTACAGAAAAATGGACAAATATGACTCACTGATAAAAAACAACTGAATTAATGCCTGGATTTCTTTGAAATACTTTAATATTGAGAGAACACACACTGTTCTGTCAATAATAAACATGTATACAATATTCATCACAACTCTAGACATTAGATTATGCGGAAATTGTGATATTGTCTCCCTACGTTGGATGTACTTCCTATTTCCGTTTATCAATACACTCATTCGACCTTAAAAGAAACCTGCATTTTATAGTTACTTATTCTTAACTTTCCCCCCCAACTGTTTTTAGGAGAAACTATTGATTTATACTGGTTGTTGAAGATGGACATCAATATCAAAATCACAAATTGAGGTGAAATTATTTCTTTATCTTATGGACAAAAGAGTAGCGTCATATCTAAAATTGGGGAAAAAAGGAACGAATTGCAAGACACAATTAAAGGTTAAACAATCTTATAATCTTAATTAATAATGCATTAAAGGGGCATCACGCTGAAGTAACATATCAAGTGAGACTCCTGATGGAAAATAACGATCGGATTTGGCTGAAATGGATTCATAAAAATGATTAAATCTAAGATAATCATCGGTATTTCTACCTGTCTGACCAACGTTTTGTTCAGGGATTTCCCTCTACTAGCGCATGCGCATAGCACACCATTTCTTTGTAAACAAAATGACTGGCCGTGTGAAGTAAGCGAAAGAAAAAGTGTTGTTCCGTGTCAGCTACGAAGCCAAAAGTTGCCAAATGGTCAAAAGATAGCACAATGAGTACGTTACGGAATCATTATTGCCAGTGGGAAGTATTCAAAGCAGAAAATAACTGCCCTAGCAGTTAGTACGGTGCATTTATTCTTCCGGATTGCCGGTTTAGCTGAAATGAAATCGACAGATATGCTAGCGCTGTTTATGTTATGAATAAATATCTAAAACTATTAACCTCGCTAGTAGTAGTATCATGGTGTGAGTTTGAACACAAATGAACTTAGTCTAATATGTTAATGGGCATGTATCGGAGGGAGTTTACGTTGTGTTTCTATAATTAGACAGTGGTTTATGCGAAAGGAATTAAGGGATAAGTGACTGGTTAGTTTGATTTTGCCATGAGGCCCTCCAAGGGATAACTGTTGTGATGGCCACGGCGTATTTTGTTCTGTTCTCTGTCGGTACTCGGGGTCAAATGAGATACGTGCGCTATTAGATTTACATAATTTATAATATGACTGGGATCAGTAAAATGGTATGATTTAATTAAATTGCTGAATTAAACGATTTTGTTTTGTTTTGACATGCAAGATTTAGATAAGTACTAATATGAATAACCGGCCTCCTCTGGCGCGACGACGCAATATATAAAAAAAAATCGCTCTTCGTCAGAAAGCTACGTTATCACAGCTAGATTAAAATGTCAAAATGACGGACCAGGCTGAATAACTGAGGAAGGAGAAATTACTTCTAGTAAATAGGATCGCATAATATTAGTTTTTAAATCGTAATTTTTAAACAGTTCATGTTTTCATATGATGTTGAATGTTGTAAAAATGGCGCATGCTGCCGATAACTACGGCTTATCTGTTTCGGACAAAAGGAACTGATTAAAGAAAAGTTGTCTCAACATAAAAAGGTCCATTTACAAGTATGCTTTAATTAATCTTTGTAAATGTTGAAAAAATATAATTATCAAGTATCTCAACACTTTCCATATCTGACACATATTGTACATGTACACGGAGTGGTTTTGCCATACAGTTTATTGTGTGTGATGGCTAATATGACTTACTAAGTGTTAGCGTATGGAGACAGTGAAAGTGGGAAAGAGAGTATACATACAATTATATGCATGGTATAGGGAAAAAATTGGCCGAAGACATTGAGTTGTACAATGTAATAATAAAATTCACAAACGTTTCTCTTTTTTATACGCGTGTAGTTTGTCATTGCATATATGCACTTTTATGTAAACATTTGAAAAGGGATATTCGTCTCGCGCCATTCCTTTTTACAGAAAGGTTTGTCCCATGGTTGAGGGAAGCGGTGTTTAGCCCCGTACCATCCGTACCGGTATTAAATTCAATATATATTTATATATATCAACTTTATGTTTATGCCTATTATCATTGTTGACATTTAATTGTAAATGTATGACGGGAGAAGGCTGTGATCAATTGTAAAAACTTGTGCCCCATACCTTGTTCAATTTTATGGGCCACAAATATATGTTTAAAGCTAAATAAATTTAAATTCTGAATATTGGCAAGTGTGCAATTAACTTATGATGATGAATAATTATTGTTCAATAAGTTTGAATACGGACTTAGAAATCATATTACTTGGTTTCATAGTGCGGTAAGAAGTTGCAATTGCCTGACGGCCCCTCTCTGGGGGCCCCTTTGGAAACCGTCTCATCTCGCTCACACCACTTGTGTTTATACTGCCTAGTCAGGTGACGTTATCGGCGGTATTTTTGACAGGGCTTTCCCGAACAATTCAAGTGGTCAAACTGGACATTTGGAATGGACTATGAATATGGGGATAGCGAGGTAACATAAGTGGAAGTGCATACAATACATACATTCATTAAAAAAAATATGGCTCTTCACGTGATGTCCCTTTAAGGGATAGTAGGGATAGTGCCAAGTGAATAGTGTGTAAGGGGGATAACTCTAACACAAATCATAGGTTTAATGAGTACGGAGGTAAGGTAGCATATATATATCCTTTAGCTTTACACAGTGTTTGGTTGTACCTGAGTGTTGTCCCTGTTGGCTATCAGAGTCAAGGTCTTGAGGGCCAGACTGGCCTCACGATCATTTCTGAACATGGTCAACAATGCAGACACCAGATTAGTCAAGGAGAAAGGGATGTGATTGGTCACTTTGAGCGATGACATCAGACCAGACATCCAGGACACTGCTTGCTCTTGCTGCATAGAGAAGACTTTTGTCCAGTTGGCAAAGTTTTGACCTTGGTAACTAGCTGTGGTCAAACCAATCTTTATATCTTGGTCTGATACCTGTGGATGTCATACAAACAACAAATATACAACAGATTTCCTAGCTGGTGTAATGTGCTATACAAGAGAATCTTCTTTATTTTAGTTTCAAACAAAAAATGGTTCCAAAATATCTAAATATTTTTTAAGGTTTTCATTTTTAATATATAATTTTATTATAGATAATCAATAGTTAAGGAAATTGTCTTATTAAACATAAAATCTTATAATTAATTTTGCCTTTAGAAAGCTGAATTCTTTGGCCCCTATCTGGATTCATTATTATAAAAGTATCTACATAATCTTATTTCTGTCTTGCAGCCATTAATAATTGATAGCATGGACATCAAAATGTTCTCACCATTTCATAAGGAATCTTTCGTTTCTTCTCGATGTTTAGAATTATCTCCCCTGCTAGACTGTGAAGGACGCTGAGCTGTCGACCAATCAACTCAGACTTGGGTGTGGCCAGGATCTGGAGAACGGGCAGGACCAACATCCCCGCTCCGACTGGACTGATGACACGACTGTCTGTCTCAAGGATCAGCTTGCCTTCAAAAGAAAAATCATTTTTGTTTTTCTTTTAACACTTAGTTCAAACAACACACACCAATGTTGCACGACCTATGGGTCTAAATAACATTAATATCAGCAGTTATATTTAGAGCACTGTTAAATATCATTATAATTCATTTCATATTTTGTTTTGGGGGGATTTTATCCAGCTTAATCTGATAAGTGTCAAATGTGACTGATCAAATCAGCGCCTTCCAGCAGGGTTGCAAATGCTGTCAATGTCAAACATTCTTGACCTCATGACTGGTTTCAGGAACAAATGACGTTCTAAAAGTATGATTTATATAATTTCAACTGAAAAATTTCCCATAAAAATAACTTACACATCTTGAGCAGTGACAGCACTTGATCAACGGAACACGAAAGAAGAGTGGTCGCCACGGTGATTAAGTTTTGGTCAGAAGCCATAACCTGGAAAAAAATATGAGAACATTACGGTTAGAATTTATTACTTACTTACAAAGATTTTATTAACACTCAGACACATAATATATGTTACATGAGGAAATAAAGTAGATATGGCAAATGAAGTACAATATACATATTTATATACACATGTATAACTGAAAGAATGGACAGTTCAATTTAGAACCTGTAAGGTATAATAACATGATATGACATTTGTAGTAAAGATTCATTTCAGTTCAAATGGAGAGGGGTATTAGACTTGTTCAAATTCCTGTCAGGCTGGGTAAATGACTCTTTCCTGCATTTTTAAAACTAAATTTCTAAATATTCATTTTATTAATTACTTCAGTTGCATGTTACTATAAATACATGATGACATCTAAAATACCTCTGGAGAAGATGATGCTACTTTCATCAGGGCATCCATCAAGGATGTGACCCCTTGACCTTTCAGCACCCCCTGGTGATGGAGGGATAAACCAAACTCAGCTAGGGCCCGTAACTCTCTTTGACATTTGTCAGCTCTGCAGTATGACAGGCACTGCAGTATGATCTCGGTCACAAACTGAGTGGTCTTGGCAAGGTCTTGAGATTCCCGAATCTGGAAACAAAGAATCAAATCAATTTACCCCTGAAAGATACAAGTGCTTAATATGGCGCTTTACATATACATGGTTGTCTCTGAGACTATCTCCAACGGATATATGGTCATTTGAAGGTTGTTTTTTTGCATCCAGAAATCTAAACGAATACTTGATAAAATCAGAGATTATCTAACACTAGCAGGGTTTTAGTGGTTAAGGGACGAAATCTGGAAAAATCATTGTTATAGGACCATTTTGGAAAATTTGAGTATAGTCATTATAACAAGACCGTTAATCTTTGATTTAAGCTAGTTTTTATGATAATAATTATAATCATTCTGTCCTTCCTACATATACTGCATGTTGACTAACTGTTTTGTTTATTTGTGGATTAATGTCCTCTCAACAGCCAGGATCATGATGATGATGGGTGCTTTATTTTTAAGGAAAACACTGCCAGAAAGAGAAAGTGGATAGAGAAGAAAGACAGGAAAGATAAGAAACGAAAAGTGTTGTGATGGGGGCAGCAGATCAATTTTGGTATCTTTCACATCCTCTTGTTAGGACACAGAAAGGAAGCCCTCAGTTCTGCAGGAAACCCCACATCATTCACCTTTTACAAACCCTGATAAACCCCTGACTTGCTTTCAATATACTGGTAGTGTTTCTGATGCTTGAAAATCAGTACAATGTCATAAAGCATATGTCACGGTCACTCAGATTGAAACTTAAAGCTGAGCTTTCGAAGCCAAGTGTGTTTAAGATTATACTTAGATCATATCAGATTGATGGTTAACAAGAAATGTAAGCCAAATGATAGCTGAAACACCCTTCACTCATCCAATTACAATCGGCAGTTCTTCACAAGTTTTCTTTTTAACAAAAGGGGGAAAATCTTCATGTCAGCAGCAAAAGGTTAAAGGTCATGAAATTGTTGGAAGAGCCGTCACATTCAATCCTAAAAATACACCATCCAATCGCATCAATTTTCTTGTCTTAATAATCTCAGTGATAAAATCTGCCCGCTAACTAGATCAGATGAAATCAGCCGGCAACATCTAGCATGTCAATTGGTATCGTCATTCCCTGAATTGTGTTTCCCGGAAAAAAACAATTGCTGTCGGACAGAATCATTTGGAAAAGAGTTGAAGCACGTTCATCTCATCTTCATCTCCAATTACCACAATCTAATCAAGATCGGATCTGTTGCTGCGATTCAGTTCGTAAACTACGATCCATTCGTGGAGTGAAACAGAGGCTTAATGTGACACATTGTTCCAACCAATCAGTTAAAGTGCCTCAAGAACAATTAGTTATCGGGAAACAACATAGATGGGGTGAAAGGTCAAAGTCCTAGCAAAGATCGGCAGCATGTGACCCTGAGTCCTATGACAAGCATTTACATCTTCACAGGTATCTAAAAGAAACATATTACTCCATGAAAAACAACTGATCCACTTAAGTTGTCTAGATTGTTCCAGAGGTCAGTTGTTGTGCATTACAAAACATATTTTTCAAGCCTTTTTTTCAGCCCCATCCCTCTTAATATATATGTATTTATTTATACATGTACTCATATCTTCCCTTACAAAATTGAATTATGTCGTAATCTGTTTTTGTGAATCTTCAAAAACAAGAAGTTGAACATTCATTACAATTCAGCCCTTCAAATTGTCTCTGTTACTCATATCCTTAATTTTCTTCCAAGGATGTTAAGTCTGGTCCTAATCAAATCAAATCTCATTTTGAAGTCCCAAACAGGAGCACTTTTCGTAATCGAGGCCTCCTACCTAACAGTACATGTAAAGTAAGTTGACATTTACTGTAGAAGCGGGATTATTAGATATATAAGCCACCTATAGCCTTAGGTATGACATTCATATCTTTAATAGGTCCATTTCATATAGATATTACCGCACCAATCATATTGAAGGGCAAACGTAAGCCTCGTCTCCTGTCTCTAGACTGATGGTGTCAACGACAAAGGTGCTGTCAGTAGAAAATTGTGTATGGGAAAATTTGCTTTCCTATATTTCCAAATGGATTTATTGGTAGAAATTGGAGGCAAGTTACTTACATTATTTTAAAATTGAGAGTACAGGTAGCTCAGGTAAAAGTGCAAAAACCCACATAAAGAACATTTCTTATAGCAAAGAAATTTCGTTCGTTTCAATTTTAAATGAAGGATTTGAGAAGACCATATTTTTCTCTCCGAAACATAAAAGTGAATTGATTTAATGTTAATTTAAATGCACACTGGCTATAAATATGTATAAAAAGACAATCAAATTAAACAGTCTTGCTTGGTTCTTTTTAAATGAATCCTTAAATAAGTTTTGGGAATATATCATAATGAAACGGTGAACGCCAATTAACAGTAACATAATTGACTTGCATCACCCAGTGTGCTTGAAAAACTTCATTAGCAGTGTTTGTTTGGCGAGAGGGAAGGATTTAATTGGGGATTTCAGCATTATCAGTGATTGTTTTGGGAGACGGAAGGATTTAATTGGGGATTTCAGCATTATCAGTGTTTGTTTCACGAGAGGGAGGGATTTAATTGGGGATTTCAGCATTATCAGTGTTTGTTTCACAAGAGGGAACGAAGGATTTAATTGGGGATTTCAGCATTATCAGTGATTGTTTTGGGAGACGGAAGGATTTAATTGGGGATTTCAGCATTATCAGTGATTGTTTTGGGAGAGGGAAGGATTTAATTGGGGATTTCTAAGACAAACAAAGGTTTGTTTAGTGAAAGATTTGAATATTGTTTATAGTTAATTGGGACCTCAATTTGAATATAAACTCTCTGCTTGTTTCCTTCCTCTTCTTTCATTCAAAAGACTTCATTTTGTTGTGGCTGGTATTTTGTTGTTAAAAAAAGGCTTTTAACTTTTTTTTTATTCATGAACAAATATCTTCGATATTCATCTAATAAGAGCAAACTAGGGGGAGAGCACACTTATAAGAACATGGGTATTATGTGAATTGAATAAGATAAACGTTTCTGCATTAATGTCATGGGAGAAAGTCGGCATGATTCTAGGTTCAACTCCCCTGCCTGTTCAGCACCCCTATCAAATGTACTTTGAGGTATTTGCTTCTTTACAGCTTATCTTTCCTTCTTTATTTCTGTCTTTTATCTTTCATTTCCTTATTTTTTGAACACCATTTGACCACATACTTCCTGATCCATGCTGATAGCTTTATTGAGAAATTTTCATCAGCTAACTAAAATCATTTTACAACCAACAGAAATGTTTCACCCCAAATTCCCATTGCATACAGACATATATTTTCGTTTCTGTCTGTGATCTTTTCCCAACAGAGGAAATATTATCTTCAGAATATATCCAGCTAAGCAGCACCACAAAACATACAAGTGATCGATTTCACATGCACTTCCTGTGTAACTGATTTTGCATCGTTGATGTCGGCCTAAAATCAATGCCGCATTGTTGACGCCAGTCTGATTTCTAATGAACATGGAAACAGACTAGCCATGCAGAAAGATACACCAACAGATCCGACCAGTCTTCGGGCTCAATGCAATCTTATCTACCCGATAGGGAAGTAAGTATGGCTGTCAGGTGGAGAGAAAGAATCTATGTTCTCTTAACCTAGACTGACATCTAACTATTTACCAGATGGATAGGGAAGTATATTTAATTACTGTCTGAAATACTTGTTTCTGATTGGCTGGAGAAACTAGATGTTTCAATTGTTATAACATCCCAAATTGTGTTGACAACATAAGGTGGCACATAGTTTCATCAATTTTATTTTTCAAATTACTTTTTTTAAATTCCATCAACTGATAATGAATGTGCATACATCATGTCTTTTTCTTTTTTGAGGTGCACACTTCTTTGTTTTTCGTGGGCTGATGGTTTTAATTCTGAACAGTCATGAATTTTTATGTATTTTACCTGAAAGTATGGCAGGATGTTCGTAAGGAAACGGAGTATTCCCCTGGCAGATTCCTGGTCCTGTGATTGGCCAATGACTTGCATTAGGACTCTCTCTAGACTGGTTTTCATTGGTTGATATTGGCTGCTTTGCTGCGGTTCCACCAGTACAAATTTCAGAAAGGGGGCCAGCATCTCCATGGCGTTCTGTCGCACACTTTTAAAATGATATCAAAAGGCAGGCATTAACCAGTCTTAGTTTACACAGGAAAACATGTTCAATTATGAACGCATTCATGTAAAATAAAACCCTTAAGAACTAGGAATATTGTGAACTAATCTGAGGTGCCATAGGGCACGGTTGAAAATTTGCAGCGATTGATATAATGATTTCAATTTCCTGTTAGGCTGTTAAACTTCCTGGTTATTTAATTATTACTTTCACAAAAATTATACTCTTGAAATTTCAGTAATTATATCAATCCCAATGTCTCATGAAGATTTTTTTCACAAAATTTTAGTAATAGTTTCCTTAACAACAAGACAATTTTAATGCATATCAGTTTAATCATGACAGCTTTAAGGTGATACACATTGAATTCCCCTTAACCTCCATGACAACAAGCAGCTCAGTAGTGTAACTTTTGTTTCCATGACAACAAGCAGTTCAGTTAAACTTTTGTTTACATGACAACAAGCATCTCAGTAGTGTAACTTTTGTTTCCATGACAACAAGCAGTTCAGTTTAACTTTTGTTTCCATGACAACAAGCAGCTCAGTTAAACTTTTGTTTCCATGCCAACAAGCAGTTCCGTTTAACTTTTGTTTCCATGCCAACAAGCAGTTTAGTGTATCTTTTGTTTCCATGGCAACAAGCATTTTAGTGTATCTTTTGTTCCCATGCAGCTAAGAAAACATTTTGCTTATGGTGACATTTTTTTTTTTTTCATTTCCTGTTATAAGCAGTTAACTAGACACATGTAGGCATATTCACCTTTTGTTTCCATGACAACAGAGGCTGTATACTTGGTGCTGTAGGAGAGGCCATGCCTCCGGACGGTTCGTCAAGATGGTGATGAAGGGGTGAGGAGGTGTCCTGTAAAGAATAAAATATTAGTTATATAAAATAGAAACTTCTGTAGAATGATCTGTCTGGCCCGATGTCTACTTTGTCAGTTTTGCATAACAAAACTGTCAGAGTTAAACAGAATATTTGACACCTCTGCCATTGCTGGAAAAGCAACACCTTAGCCTTAGTTTTTCTCTAAATTAATTAAAACAAGACAATTAATGAACAATTTATTATTTAAAAGATTGGGTGGCCACTTGTTCACATTCACTAAATAGTAACAAGACATTGCATCAGATGGGTCGTAGATGGCCGGTAAATTGCCAAATGTGACTAGGCTATTAATGGGCGATGAAAAACAAGGGCCATAACTCTCTTAATAGCAGTGTATGAAAACATACTGGGGGTTACACATATTTTAGAGAAAGTAAAATACAGACAGAACGACGAACAACATAATTTGTGTTAAACTTAACCAACTTTAAGGCAGTCTGGATAGTGGAAACAGTAAAAATAATTTCAGTTCAAATTCCAGCAGCGATAAATATATACCATAAATAATGGCTGGGTTCACAGCGTTTCCGTGGGACAAATTCTACATTACAACTTTCTGTCAGCTATAAACAGCTATTCTTTTCAGACTGATGACAGGTTCAAACTTAAAACGGCATGTTAAACTCACATATATCCTCATATTTAGTTCCCTTAGAAAATGCACATCCCAGACACAGAAGTATACTTCTGTCAACATTTTTATTTTACCTATTCACAGCAGATATCAACACTCTATAAACCTTGAACTGAGATGTCTAATGGCCCTTATCAAATGTCAATAACTGCAAACTTTATTCCAAATTCTACATCATAATACAGCTACTTATATGCCTTAATGTGTCGAAGGGTAACTAGGGTAAAATAACATACTGAGTATTCTTTTTTCTTTTATAAAAATGAAGACAGTTGCTTAATACCCAAGAGGTTCTATTCTGCTATTCCTAATCGAACTAGTATCGCCCACAGACATATCAAGTTGAATTAAACTTAAAAGTGATGTATCCATTCAAGGCTAAACTGCTATACAAAAGTTTCAATTACTTTTAAGACCTTATATAAAGACAAGAGGCCCATGGGCCTTAACGGTCACCTGATATATTTATACAGAGAGTTGATTTCGTTTTTAACATGAACAGAAATATTATTCAAAGTGACAAAAAACAATAAAACCACCTTATTCAATATCAAGCATACAGATTTCAGACTAAAAAGGATTTGAAACTAGCACCTCTGATTCTAAACAAGGAAAATGAAGAAATTTTAGCACACTGACTCCCTTGAGCCCCACCCTACAGCCCTTGGGGGTAGGGCTGGCTCAAAATTTTCAAAGTATCAAACTGTCAACTCAAGGTTATAATTCCAATCAAGTTATTAACATG